GGGGGCGGCAGGCGCGCGCGGGGGCGCAGCGCGAGGTCGGCGATGGAGGCTGGACCGCGGGCAGCCCAGAAACTTCCCGGCCCGGAGAAACTCCGCCAGGCCCCGGACTGAGGCCGGGCCGAGGAGGCCGGAGCCAGTGGAGGCGGAGAGGAGGAGCGAGCGCGGGGAAGGCCGGGCGGCCGGCCCGCTGCGCGCCCCCTGGCCGGCTGCTCTCCCGCGGCCGCCGGGAAGCAGGAGCGCGGGAGGACGCAGGGAGAAGTGAGCAGTTGTTTTCCCTGGCTAGAGCGCGGCGCGGCGGCGGCGAGGGGGGCTGGGACGCTGGCCCCAGGCCAGGGAGACAGTTTTTTTCAGTGTAAAGCGTCGCCGCGGCCGCCCGCAGGAGCGAGGGTGTGCGGACGGGCGGGAGGGCTGAGGTGGGGGCGCTGCCCACCCCAGATGCCCGCCCCGCGGGACCCCGCTGGGCCCTTTCCAGCGAGCCCTCACCTGGGACCCGCGGGCCGGGAGGCCAGATTCCTCCGGGCGGGGCCGCGGCCTGCGCTAAACCTCCCGCCCCGCCCCGTCTAAGCGGGAACCCGGGGCCGGGGAGGAAGGTGGGCCCTGCCGGGGTCACACTGATTCGGTGGGAGGACGGGAACCCAGGCCCCTCAGCTCTTTACCCGTCTCCCTTGCGTATGTGGGGGTCTCACAGCCCCAAAGTCAGTTCTTAGTTCTCCCCTCTGAGGAAAGGACCCCAGGAAGGGCACCCTTGGAAGGCACAGTGATGTCTGGGGGTGGGGGGAGCCTGTGGGGTGCAGAAGGGGAGCAGAAAAAAACAGAATTGGAAATCCAACTCCCCTGTCAACCCCCCTTTAGAGGGCTTCCTGGTGCCCATCTTGCCACTCCGCCCTCCTTCCCCTCGTCTGGCTGGGCTGGCTGGACTGGCTCTGGGCCTCAGACACTCCGGAATCGCCAAGGTCTGAGCTCAGGGCCTGGCCCCCTTCCCAGGCTGACAGCCGCGAGGAGGGGGACATTGCTTAAGGGCCCAGGGGGCTGGGGAGGGGCACAGCAGGGCCCCAGAGCAGGGTTGGCAGGGGCTGGGGAGGGGTCTTGAGTTTGACCCCATCTAGAGAGGAGCCAGCTCTGCCCACTGATCTGGAAGGGAAGCTGCGGTGTTCTGAGACCTAGGCCATAAGTGAGACCCCAGGCTCCAGTGTCTGACTCAGAGCTCAGCAGGGGGAGGGGTGGCCAGGATCAGGAGGATGCCAAGTCAGGGTGGCGCCAAAACCTCCTTGGGAGGGCACCAAGGCTGGCCGGCCGATGAGGAGAGGGGTTGGGGTTTTTCTTCAGGCACACCTGTCCAAGGAACTTGTGCTTTTTACCATGAGGGTGGACTGAGACTTGAATTGCTCAGCAGCAGTGCCGGACACGTTTAGTAGAGTTTAGTGTTGCAGAGCTGGGAGGGGACAGCGAATTCCCCACTGCTGGAATGCTGGATGGCTTGCTCGGGGTGCCCCCTCCCTTGGCTCTGGTCACACTCTGAGGCAGGGAAGAATACTGAATGCTTAGCACCTGCCAGGCACAGCGCTGAGCGTTTTATATTCACTTTTCCCCCCTCACAGTCATCTGAACCCTCCCCTGCCTAGAGCTCACCTTGGAACACAGCTCATATAATAATCCTGGCTTGGAGGCTCAATTTCTCTAAGCCTCAGTTTTCTCTCTTGTGAAATGTCATTCACGACAGGGGACGGGGCAGACATGTGACTGATCACTTCAAACATAAGGGTGGTTACTGCAGAGGTCAGTGCTGTGACCAAGAAGAGCAAGAGCAGGCATGAGACCTGGAGATCTAGAAAATCCCTCTGACAAAGGGACTTTTCCAGCAGAGGCTGGAGGATGATGCTAGGGAAAGCCTGTTGGAGCTGGGGAAACTGAGGAAACAAGAGGGTGTTTGCCAAGGAGTGTGCAGCGGGGGTGAAGGGAGATGAAAATTTGGTTCTGCTGGGCCTCAGGGCAAGCTGGTGGAGCAACCAGGTGAGGAGGGGAGAGCAGCGTAGGTAGGCGGGGTAGGTCAGGGCAAAGCCATTGGGTTTCATTTTCATTGCCAAGGGACAGTGTGAGGGTGAGAGGAGTACTGCTGCCTTCCCGGAGAGATGACTCTGCTTGGATAGCAAGGAGCTGGAATCTACAGACTGCGTGAACCTAGGAGGAGAGGCAAGGCCTGTGGCTCTGATGGCTCCCAGGTGTCTGGCTGGCGCCTCTGGGTAGGCGGGAAGAGGAAAGAGAGAGGAGGAGAAGGAAGCACAGGGAAGCGTTCTCAGCACTCTGCTGGACCTGCTGTGTCTGAGGTGCAGTGCATCATCCAAGCCTGGCTGCCTGAGCCCATGTTAGACAGGACGCGTGGCCTGGGGACTTAGGCTCAGTCCTCGGCACATCAGGCATTTCCATGGTGGGGAGGACGATTTAGCTACAGAGAGACAAGGGCCCAGTGGGAAAGGAGCAGATCACCATTGCCAGGTCCCAGAAAGGAGGTGGAATCAGCCCAGAGACCCAGAGGCGCTTAGCAGGGAGCCAGGAGGGAACCGAGAGCTGGAGCGGGAAGAGGCAAGAGTGCCTGGAAGGAGGGTGTGGCCAGCATCATGTGGGCCGCAGAGAGCAGGATGGGCAGGCAGCTTCCCCGGGGCTGGGGAGAAGGCACTCAGCACAGCACAGCAGGCAGTGATGCTTGGACTTGCCTGTTGTCATCATCCAACTGGAAAGCTCACAGGGCCTCAGCAGGAAGCACCAGGCGCCCCATGCTGTGCAAGGGAGCTGAGTAGAAAGACAGACAGATGGGAGGAGCCATGGCTGGCAATAGGGTGAGCCCTTAGCCCCACCTAAGGGACTAGAAAGAGCTGGCACCCCATTACCTTCATACATAACCTAACGGGATGGCTTCAGCAGACACCTGTCCCCAAGGCCTGCAGGGAATAAATATTACCCTACTCTCCTCAGGCCCCCAGGACTCCAGTCAGGCCTGGGACTGCAGCACATGGACTGCAGCCTCCTAGCAAGCAACAGGGAGGTGGAAAGGGCAGAGTGGACTGCAGGGGAAACAGGCATCCCAATACATGTGTCCTTGCCTGCTGCTTTCCTAGCCTCCTCACCACACAGCACCCTTCGTCTTCCTTGAAGCTGCTGTTTCGCCTGCGTCCCAAATGTGCAGACCTTCAAATGTGCAGAAAGAGAGCATGATCTTCGTGGTTGTTCCAGATCACAAAGGCCACCAACAGGGCTGCCCGGGGCTCCCCTGCCTCCTGCACTACCTGCTCCACTTGGTGTCAGTCACTTTCTAAGACATAATTCTGTAATCCTAGCACTCTAGGAGCTGAGTGGGCAAGTTAGTGATTTAGCAAGACCCTATCTCGGAATAAGAAATGAGAAAAGGAGCTGAGGACATAGTGCAGTGTGAGGGCCCTAGGTTCAGTCGCAGTAGTTAAAAACAAAACAGAGCAGAAAACCAAACTGGGTTGGGTTTAGAGGTGTCCACCTGTAACAGCAGCATTTTAAGAGCCTGAAGTAGGAAGATTACAAATTCAAGTCCAGCCTGGGCAACTTAATAATTTAGCAAGACCCGTCTCAAAATTTAAAAAGGACCAAGACTGTAGCTCAGTGTGAAGGACCTGGGTTTTCAATTTCTAGTCCTGCAAAAATAAATAATTAATCATAGTTCCAGGGCTGAGGATATAGCCCAGTGGTAGAGCACTTGCCTCGCATATGTGAGGCCCTGGGTTCAATCCCCAAAATAGCATTATTATTATTATTCAGGGTGACTAGATATATAGCTCAGTGGTAGAGTGTATATTCAGCATGTGGAGTATACTGTATTTTGTATATTGTGTAGTATATTGTATACTGTAGAGTGTGTATTCAGCATGAGGCCCTGGGTTCAATTCCCAGCACTGGGGAACAAGAGAGAGAGAGAGAGAGAGAGAGAAAGAAAAAAAAAAAGCCAGGCATGGTGGCAGAGGCATGTAACCTGGGTACCTGAGAGGCTGAGGCAGGAGGGTTACAAATTCAAGGCCAGCCTGGGCAACTTTTTTTGTCTTTTTGAGATGGGGTCTCACTTCACTATGCAGTTCAGGCTGCCCTTGAGCTCACTTTGTGGCCCAAGCTGGTCTCAAACTCACAATGATCCTCCTGCTTCAGCTCCTGAGTGCTGGGGATTACAGGTGTATGCCACCACACCTGGCTTTTTTTTTTTTTTGTCTCATCCTGGGCAATTTAATGATGATGCAGGAGAAGTATAACTCCCAACTTGCTTGATGTCACATGGGCCATGCTTGTGTCCCCTGAAATCAAAGAATGAATTCCAAAGGACAAATGAGGTTCAGAGTGAGAAAGATTTATTGGAGAATAGGAATAGCTCCTAAGAGACAGGAGTGGTCCTGAGTGAGTTGCCACTGAGGCCCTTTGTCAGAGATAATTTATACAGCAAAGTCACAATGTAGCCAGGTGTTGTGGCACACACCTGTAATCCCAGCACTCAGCACTAGGGAGGCTGAAGTAGGAGGATCGCTGGGAGTTCCAGGCCAGCCTGGGCTACATAGCAAGACCCTGTCTCAAAACAAACAAATAAAAAAAAGTCACAATGTAGGTACAGCATGGGTCAAAACATAACGAACCTATAGGATGACAAGTATAGCTGGTTAGCTGATTTTTTTTTTTTTTGGTTAGCTGATACTGATCTGGTAGAGAAGCCGGCAAGTAGCAAGGCTGACATCACTCACCTTGCTTCCCTATGACTTCTATAACAGGAACATTTTTGCGAAGGGATGGGTCCAGGTGTTCTGGTCACCACCTGGGTGTCTGATGCATGTCTGGACTTAGTGCACTGGGTGTTCCTAATTACAGTACAGTCTCTTGAGGATGTCCCTTCTTCAGATGCACCTCCAGCCATAATTTTTTTTTTTTTTGCAGAACCGGAGATTGAACTCATGACCTTGTGCTTGCCAGGCAGGTGCTTATGCCACAGAGCTATATCTCCAGCCCCTCCAGCCATCATTCTGATATCTTTATGTTCACTGACTTCCTTGAGAGCCTGGTTCCTCTCTGACTATATATTGATTTCTATCTAATTTAGCTGCCTAAAACAGTGAG